CGTCGTTGGACTGAGGTCACCGTCGTCTTTTCTTCAGGGGTTTCAGTGGAGCAGCGTTCACTGCGTCCTCCCCTCTCCTCCCCTCTCCTCCTCACCCATGTCCTGACCGTGCGGCCCTAGAAACAGAGGGGAGAAAATCGTGGCCTCACATTTCCACCGTAGCGGGGGCAAATTCACGGGCCTCAAGGCTGTCGTTGAGAGGCTGTTAAAAGTACCAAAGATCAGAGGGAATGTCGTCACCTCCAAACCTGTTCTCCTCCGTCTGACCTGACCCTGTCAACATCCCTCCTCTCTGCTTCTGCTGCCGTTACCATCAAGTTTACCACAAAGAAACATTCCTCTAAACACCACACTACACCGATGCCCCCCCCGCCCACCCCCCCCTCCAAGTCTTGTACAGTGGTAAAATTCAAATGATTTTCCAGTTGAATTCATCCACCTTCACCCATGAGGTTCTGTTTGAGTCCATGAGACTCAAAGGTCAACCTCCCAGAATAGACGTGTCATTTCACACAGTTTGGTGGAGTCCATCCATGGACGTGTCTTCACTGTCACTGTACAGGACGTGTCTTCACTGTCACTGTACAGGACGTGTCTTTCCTGATCTTCTCACCACACTGGCTGCTCCTCAGTCTTATTTTACTCATCAGTCCTCACTCATCCTTGTCCCTCCACTCCAGATTCTACTGTCCACCTCCGACCCATATCAGCACCGTAACTCTGCTCAGAACAGACAGGAGTCTTTACCCCCGAGTCTTTACCCCTGACTCTTTTACCCCTGACTCTTTTACCCCTGGCTCTTTTACCCCTGGCTCTTTTGCCCCTGACTCTTTTACCCCTGGCTCTTTTGCCCCTGGCTCTTTTGCCCCTGGCTCTTTTGCCCCTGACTCTTTTACCCCTGGCTCTTTTACCCCTGGCTCTTTTACCCCTGGCTCTTTTACCCCTGGCTCTTTTACCCCTGGCTCTTTTACCCCTGGCTCTTTTACCCCTGGCTCTTTTGCCCCTGGCTCTTTTGCCCCTGACTCTTTTACCCCTGGCTCTTTTACCCCTGGCTCTTTTACCCCTGACTCTTTTACCCCTGGCTCTTTTACCCCTGGCTCTTTTGCCCCTGGCTCTTTTGCCCCTGACTCTTTTACCCCTGGCTCTTTTACCCCTGGCTCTTTTGCCCCTGGCTCTTTTGCCCCTGACTCTTTTACCCCTGGCTCTTTTACCCCTGGCTCTTTTACCCCTGGGTCTTTGCCCCTGGTCGGTCGGTGACATCACTCCTTTTGACAAGCACAGTCACAGCTACAGTTACATAATGAATATTTCATGGACTGTTGGACAGACCCACGTGAGAGTTGGGACACAGTGTGGACCAGAGGAGATGCTGCCCCTGTTTCCACCACAGCCTTCTTCAGTTGCCCCGCAGTAGAAGAGAGAGAGAGAGAGAGAGGGTCTGTGTTTTCAGACAGTGATAACAGACCTCCACTCCGTCTCTGAGATTCCTTCTTCTGCTCGCAGCTTTTCTTTGTATCCCTCCCACTACCACCACCACCAACACTCTCTCTCTCTCTCTCTCTCTCTCTCTCTCTCTCTCTCTGCTCCCTCCCTCTCTCTCTCTCTCCCCTCCCGTCTCTCTTCTGTGTTCACCATGCTGCTGGATGCCAAGCACACACAGCGTATAGCTGTAGGTTTAATCCAGGCAGCAGTGGGACCAGGGTGCTGCCGCTGGGCCGCCCCTCTGATGACACGCAGCTGAATCCACTGGAATGTTCAGCAGCCAGAGCAGTTGTCACGGCGAGCTAGGGGAGGGAGATGAGAAGCCCCATGGAGGGTCCTTGTCATGTCTGTCCATCTCCTTGTCTGGATCTGTGCACCTTCACTCTCTGAGCCTGGGAGGCGGAGGTGGTGACTGGAGTGAAGGGAATTAAATAGGAGGCTTCACAAAAGGAGACCAAACATGGAC